TAACACCCTCCTTAATGTTAAAGAAGTATTTTAAAAATGTCCTACCATTTCCCCACAGCCCTCCATGTGATCCCTCACCAGATCTCCAAGGTTACTTTCAGAGGTTTGTTCAGGTTTAACTTTGATCTGGTTTTATAAAATGCCTGCCACAAAATGAGGAGACTCTCAAGCCCAGATCTTTTGCTCCTAACCTCAGGGGGAGGAGCAGGAGGTTCTCCATGTTCATTAAATTATACATATGCATAGGTTTGATTTCATTGTGAGATAAAGGTGAAGGAGGGAAATGATAGTTAGAACTGAATTAGCCAATTTGATGGAAGATTATTTTTTGCACATTTTGTGATAAGAATAAAATGTGTTGAACAGATAGGTGTTTTGAGCAGCAAATAATGATGCTTCAGTTGATCAAACAATTCACAATAATGACTCCTTGCTAAAATGTATTGTTTTTTTTTTATTTGGGAAGAACACATATTTACTGCATATCATTTCAGTTTTACTGTGATGAATGTTAAATTTCTAGAGTTAATGAGCAAAGCTAGTAAAGTAAGCAACAATAATTCGGTTGGTTGTTTATTTTAAACCACTGAGAAACTGGCTGACAATTTTAGCTTTTCCCCTTAGAACTGCCAGCAACAAAAAGCTTTTTCTTGTTTCTTTATATATAAGACTGTTTACATTTTTAGTGTAGATTTCAGCCGTAGGAAACTGCCATCATTTCAAGTTAAACCAAAAATTTTGTGTGTGCACGCATGTACACGAAAATGTTAAAAATTTGAAGGGTTTGCTTGGAAATAATTTTGATTGCTTCACAGGCAGAAGGTGCGATACAAAACATGCGATTATCATGACTTTGCCTGTGTTTGTTGACTTAAGCTCTCTATCCTTTCGATTTGTTTTATAAATTAAAAAAGGAATTGCCTTCCACAATCTATCCCACAACTCGGCATTCATGCTCTGAACCCACACAAGGAGAAGAGTTAATATGTATTTACAGGACAGACAGGAAAATAATTCTCACTATGTAGCCTCCCTAGAATCCCTTTATTGTAGTAAATTGAACTAAACACAATAAATGGGCATGTATACTTGCCTACATTAAATTGCCTATGTCCCATGCACAGTTATCATTAAAGCTCAATTTCAAACAAACATACCATCAAGTTTTCTTTTTTTTTTTCCCTGTATTTAGCCCAAATTATACCTGGTAGTTCAGATTTTACTTTGATCTGTATCTTACACCAACCTTATGCCATAGCAGAATATATATTTCAGGACCTATTTTCCTTTACTTCAACAACAGTATAACCTTAATCTCTTGTCACTTTCATATAAAACATAGAATACTGTGGACAGCACTGGGTCATATGGAATAGGTTAAGAAGAGAAAAGCCTCTACTCTTTACCACCAAAAGTAATATATAAATCCTTCTCACTCATTCTTCAGCTCAGTATTTTGAGAAGCCATTTGAGATACTTAAAGCTGACATCTATTTGGCTTTCAGTTGGTTTAAAGATCATGCAAATCCCCACACTACGGTAAATCTGAATGCAGAGTTTCTGGTTTTCAGTGGGAAGCATAGAAAGTTTTCCTTGATTTTCTTGATTTTTACATATTTTGCATGAAAATGATCACACATATGGAAAGAGAGATATTTTTGGAGAGCTACATTTGAACATTATGAGAACATTTCCCATGCTTTATTTCTGAATCCTGATGGACTTGATTCAAATTCAATGATATTTTACCCAATGGCTTTTCATCTAGAAGTAAAACTCCACTGAAGGATAAGTGAATTTTAAAACCTGCATTTAAATTTATGGAAATAAAGGAATTTACATGAGGGACTTTTAAGGCAGATGTTTTGTAATACATTTTTGTAATGAGAAAAACACAAGCACATAGATGATGAGAGGAAGTTAATAGATAATTCAGTATGTATGTCATTAATTCAATAACTTTGAACCTTAAAGACTTTACCAGTTCTTATACACAATCATTTAACAAAAAAAGAAAACAAAGGCAAGCTGCAAGCTGTGTCCACTGGGATGGCAATCAGCAGAAGAAAAGAATTGTTTTCTTGTGAGAGTGACAGGTTTTGTATTCTCTCAATGACCATATGCACAGGAGACAACCAAACCAGATCCCATCCCAAACTACGCAGGAGTGTTGGTCTCACACTTTTATATTAGGACAGCCAGTCTCATAGTTTGACATAAACCAGGATAGCCTTCAAAAAAACTTACTGCTACTCATAAGGAAGAGGTTGTCACTCATAAGGAAGACGAATCACCAGATGGTACTACAACCTCACATGGGGCAAGTGTCAGTTATTGAGACTGGTACACCATGCTCACAGTTGCGTGTGACAAGTTTCATTGTGCATGGTACATAACCACAGCCCTCCATGACAACTCCTGCCAGGAGAAGTATTTGTTACCTTCCCAGCACATTCTTAGTCTTTCGCATGTGATAGGTCACCACTGACCCCCCAGACCACAGCAGAATCCTCATGTGGTTTCCAGTGAGTTCATACATTTCATCAGGTAGAGACAAGCATGCCAAGTTCAGTGCCACCCTCATCCCTTAGGAATTAACACTTCTCCTTGGCTTCTGTAACCAAAGACCAAACACAATTCCTTGTGCAAAAGAAATACAATGCAGACACAGCAGCAAGTGATTGGGCAGGGTGGGAAAGATCAAGGAATCTTTAACAAATTCCAGGCACAGCCACAGGCAGGACCAGGCACGAGCAAATGCTCCTGCAGCCTCTCTGTGAGGAGCACACACTTGTGGTCAGTGTTCAGAGTGTGTTCCCAGCTATCCTGCAGCTGCCATGCCAGCAGTGGTGGCGATACTCCAGCACAGCCTCCAGCAAGAACATGACTGCTGGCACTACTGCTCCCTGCTACTCTGGCAGCTGCCCATCTTAGATCTGATACACCAAGGTTTTGTACCCATGACTGCAAGTGCTCATGCTCACTGCTGCATTACAGAGGTTTTGCGTGCTACAAAAGTCTCCCCTTCTACTGCAGACCAATGCTTTTGGTGGCTTACGAAGTTTTTCCCATTCTTCACTGATGTAAAAATTCAAGCACAACTAAATTATGATAAGCACATGTGAAACTGTATTTGGTTTTGGGAAGGAGAGCTAAGGGTAGGCTGCAGGCTACAAATTTTGTTGTTACATCACTTAATTTTATCTGTGTGATTCTGACCAGTATTTTAAAGCTGCAATGCTTTAACAGTGGGCTTGAGACAGCTGCAGCCAACTTCCTTTCTTAATTACTATGTTGGGGTCATCCCAAGACATTTTTTAGCTGTAAGCTCTGCTCATGGCATAGAAACGTTTGAAAACTGTCGATTTAATAAAGCCACACACCACTGGCCAAAAAGTGAGAAACTGATTTGGAAATGATATTAAGCTGCATAGTATGATGCCAGGAATATCAAGTTTCATAGTTATGTCTCTTATTTCTTTTCAAACAATTATCAAAAGCATTATTAGAAAATCAGCAATTTTTCACTGTATGATCAATGCCAAATCAAATTAAGCACTTAAACAGTGCATTCAGTGACATTCAGCTGTTACTTAATGAAAACTATAGAATAACAGCATTTTATAAAGAAAAAGGGGTTGGTGTGTTTGCTTTAGAGAGAAGAGGTATTTTTCTTTGAAAATCTTTTTCATTTAAAGCTTCTCAGCCAGCTGTGCTATGCATCTAGAGCTACACAGCAAAGGCAAAAAGAGAAACAGCAGAATTTCATCGCCTTGCCTGGGTGTCCTCCCAGTTATTTATCAGAAAGAGTCACCAAGAAAAGCTTCTCAGGAGCTGCAGCTGGTGCAGACCTGCTGTTCTCCAAGACAGGCCAGTGGCGCAGCCTGCAAGACTGCCACCACGATTTCTGCTCATTTCCTGTGTGCTCTGGGTATACTGCAAAGCGTCCACCGACATCTTTAAAGATTTATATAACTGCCCCTTGTTGTACAACAGATTTCCTCCCTGATATCACTGGCACCAGCAGTTGTTACCAGCTGATGCAACTTCAGCATCAGTCTCTTGGTTGCTGGGTTTATGAAGAAGAGAAAGTGCTCTCATTTCATTCCCAAATTCACACTCCCAATGGAGCAGCTGAGCCAAAATCTAGTAAACTTCTACATATAAACATTTTATTGAGAAAGCTGGTCACCAGGCTGGAAGAGTACTTTTAGTAACTTTCTGGAAATGTAGTTCCAGCTTCATGGTTTTACTGTGATGCGTGTAGATATAGGGACTGCCCTCTGATACAAGCAATCACATAAGGCTTGATGCTCTTCTGACATGAGACCATCTCAAGCTGCTTTGGCACAGTAAAATTCCCTTGAAGTGGGATTGAATGACAGGAATATACAGCCACTTTGCCCTGCTGATGGACTGTGAATTTATGTCTTGCTATACATGAAAATCAAGCCCATTTTTAAAATGTTAATTTGCTGTGGAACTTAGTAAGTACAGATTACTTACAAAACTACAGATTCACCATAAATACAAAACTATTATTTTTCCTGCTTTGCAACACCTAATCTAGTGAATAAAAAACTTGGTATTGTGCCCCATCAAGGCCTACTCTCTCAACTTAGCAGGAAGCAAGCACATGTGGGGTTTTTCTATCCTGTAGCTGCTGCCCAAGTCTCAAACATGGTATTCACATCAAGTCCGTACCTCACTTTCTCTGGTAAACTTGACTTCTCTTGTATGACTACATCATCAGATCTCTCTCTGAAAAATTAGATTAAACCCCATTCTAAAGTTAAGTAAGTATATGTGCATGGTCTTTTCTACTGGGACATCTGTAAACACTCACTGGTCTAAATGGTGGGTTTGGGAAACCTTAAATAGCAAGTAGCACAGTGCAATGCACAATCCCACCTTATTCTGACAGCAGCACCAGATGGGCATGTACACCAAAAAAATGCTGGCAGATGTGCCTCCTAACAACTAAATCTCATTTATCCTACCTTTTTCCTCTGCAAGTATTTTCTTCAGGGTAAATCCCGGGTTAGAGCTAGCCTCCTGCAGATGCCACAGCCACACTCTTGCCCCATTCACAGGTGAAAACACGTCTGGAAGGAGAAATTACAAAATTTTAAAGCCACATTCAGATTTTTTTGTGGGGACTGCATCAGAGCGATGGCTCCCGCCTCTGTGTGCTTCCTTCTCATTCACCTTTTAGATTAACTGCCACTCATTGGCAAGGTGACAAGACATTCCACCACCACTAAAGCATCATAATATGCGGTTTTGGAGGAAAATCTGGAAATGTATGTGCACACATCTGTGCATGTGTGCACAAATACATACCGCTCTCCAAGGGGTACCACACCAAGAGCATGCCATGGGTGGTCCAGAATGCAAAGGAGAAGAAGCCGTGGGGTGAGATGAAAGCAAAGAGTTACAGCCGCAGCCATTTAGACAGCAAACAAAACCCTTTCATCTTAGAAGGTGGTAGATGAACTTGTTAGAGCCAGCAGGGCCAAGCAGCTGCTAGAACCAGAGCCAGTGACAGATATGCTGGCAAATTAAAAATACCTTCAATCTCACTTCAGCCCTTAAGAACCTAAATTTCACCTTTCTCAAATTCCCACAATAAAATCTTCACCTAAATTTGCTTGGGGACATTTAAGATGAAGCAAAACAATTATAGCTATGATGTGCCTCACAAATGGGGAAGAAAGCATCCTTTGAGGTGTTGCAGGTTTACACAGACGTATCTCTTATGGGTTTGTAATTCATATAACAGCAAAGGGGGTCAGAATCAGACCACCATCTTTCAAGTAATTCTCATCTTCTCTGTTTTTTCTTACATTAGTTAACATGGAAAATACTAGCATGGCATGGCCCATCACACCCCTCTTTCTACTTTTATACAAGGCCTTTTTACACTCAAGTGGAAACAAACTCTGCAACACATTGTATGAGACGTAGGCAGGATTCGACCGCCATCTAACAGGTTATCACAATACTGAGTAATTAAAAAATGGTATTAAAAATAAAACTGATTAGGTGAATCAATTTCACAAACTTATTAGTAAAACTAAAGATACTGAATTTGATTAAGAACATCAATTCACATTAAGACTTTTACGAAGAAAAAAAAAGAAAATGCAAAGAACTCACCAGATGCAGGAAGCTGAAAGTGGCTGTTGGAAATAAACGTTATGGAAATCAACTCTTCTAGACGAGATAGGGGAAATAAAAAAAGGAGAGTGGTGTTCTGTGCTCTTGGCTGTTTTGGTTGGACTTCTTTTCCATCAGATTAGAACAATTGTGTTATTGAGAGGGAAAACAAAACAAAACAAAACCTCAAGAGGTGACCAGAGACCACTGCACATCCAGGCCAAACGAGTCCTGGCAACTGGGTCTAGCTCATCCGGACGCAGCAGTGACAGCAGACCCAGATGTAGTGTGACGAGAAATAGCAGAGTAGTTTAGGGTAAGTCAGCTTCCGGGTGACAGCTCCTCAGCTCTGCTGTGTGGGTTTTGTTGTGGGTTGGCATATGAGTGCGTGTATCTTTCTCTCTGGTGGCTATGGGACAGATGCAAAAACCTTGAAGATGGAGGAGGGCAAAACCTCCAGGCTGCAGAAAGCTTTCGCTTTGAGCTCTGCTGCTCCTATAGTTGCCTCCTCTCTGCTGCAGTGCCTAACAGCATAGCACAGCCCATGCTATGCTATCCTATACACACTAGGAGAAAAGGAGCAGATCAACAACTGCCCTGCAGTGCTATGTGCAATTCACACTACAGTAACATGAATGAGATGGCATATTTTCATGTAAGCTGGAATATGGCCCCGACTTTAAAAAAACATGTTTAGTTGACCTTGTGCAAAACTCAAGGCAGGCACTTTTGGGCTGTTTCAACACTGGTTTATAGGGATTTGTCATAATTCAGTGAGGATTCCCCAGTAGCACTGTTTAGGACTGACCAGGATCATTTCACTAGCACACTCGTCCTCTCTTCCACCAGCATAAAGATTCTGAGCAGGAGAAAGCACTACAGGTGTGGAGATTCCTTCCTTTCCCAGCACAGACAACTGGAGCAAGCCAGACTCTCATCACTTCCAGCTTTCTACCACAACACTGAAAGCAAAGCTCTGATGACATTCAGGATTTCAAGCACCAGGTCTATGGTCTGTGCTCCAGGAACTGGGAGCACAAGAGGCTGTCTTTTTTGGATGATCAGGTAATTGGACTGCAGGGAGGGCATTCCTGTCCCATACTCCTGAAGCAGCCCAAGACTGCTGGAGACAGGACAGCAGGAGAGCTGCCCCAGAGCTGAACATGAGGAGCACCGATGACAAGCACAGAGGGCTGTCTGCTGCTCAGTCAGAGGCATCAGCAGTGGGTTTCCCAGCAGCCTTGAAACCAGATTCAGAGGCAGAGAAATGGAACCCAAGTCCTTTTCAGAAAGTATTTTGGGCTCAGTGAAGCTGTTTCACCATTTTTAGACCATCTCTAGCCATGAAACAGTAGGAACAGGCTGCCTGATCCATATCTAAAGCCATGCATTTTGTGTTCCTTGCAGGATGGGAGCTCTTTGAAGACAGATAGCAAATTTGTCCACATTAACATTATGATAGTACAATGCATTCCAAGAAAAAGTCATACCGCTTCCAAAAATGATTAAAAATCAACAGAATAAATTACAAGATAAAGCAAAAAGGAAACAAAAAGATAATTTATGTGTAGATGAAAGACAGTTTGTGCCAAAAATACAACTAGCTGCTGACTATAACCTGTGTAAACACGCTGTAAACCTGCTGATACGAAGCTTGCAGAACAGTGCTGCACAGTTAGGCTGAGGAATCAATTTGTTTCTTTTCCCTATAACATGAAATTAATTAAGTTAATTATCAACAGGGGTTAGGGTAAGGAAGGCTGGCTCACAGAAGGCATTTCTGGAATACTATCTTCCTAAAAGCTTCAATCTTCCTTTTAGTTTGAGGCAAGATTTTGGATAAGGGGCTTCGGCATATTAGCAGTTTCTGTGAGAACTTGTGTTACTTAATTTTCACATTAAACACCTATTCTTCTGTTTTTAACCAGGTTTGGTTTTCCCAACACCAGTGCATGCAACCAGGCAATAAGTTTCCACTGTGGTAGTGATAAAGAAAATCAGACACCCAAACATTCTGAAATGTTTCCACCAGAACTCTGTGGCTTGTCAGAAATAGAGAAATAAATTTCATTTGCAAATTGTATTGATATAAATGTCTTCAGTGATCATCACTCCTATTATGTCTGCTACAGATAGCAGCCGCTTAAAAACGCAACTACTGTTTTCTGTTTTGAGCTGCAGACTAATCCAGATGTGAGGCCCCCTGGCTAAGCAGTTTGCATTTTGGATAAAGAGCGCATCCGTCTGTAAAATACTTCATAAACAACTTTTGAATCGAGTGAGCTCAGTGTAACAAGACTGCAGAATAAGAAATGTGTTTGGACAATATCTTGATTTCCACCCATTTCCCTCCACTGGGCTTCCCAGAGCATCTTGACCCAATAACTTCCCAAAAATAGTTGAATGTCAGATTTATTTTTGCTTCTTCCATTTTTTTTGGTTTTTTTTTAAATAAAAATCTGGGTCCTTTCTTAGGGATGCACATGCTTCATGCACTTGCTCCATCACTTCACTTCCTCATGACCTGGAACTCCACAAAGAGACCCTCAACTCCTCAACTCCACACTGTCTGCACAACATGTAGGAAATTCCAAAGTTAGGTGTAATATTGCAGCCTCACAAGTTTCTGTTGATCTTTGCATTTTTTCCCCCTTTCTTACTGCAGTTTTTCTGCTCCTTTTCACCTCTTCATGCTGTGCAGTGAAGGGGAACATCTGCCTGTGAGAGAATATTGTTAATAAATTTTAAAAAGATGTTGCTTCTCCTTTTTTTTAACTTAGTATGAGTCATTATCTGGGACTTTCAGAAACAACTTTGTTGGGGAAATATTCATGGGATGGAATGGAGGGCTGCAAATTATTTTTGCATTGAAAATAAAGTTGACAGCAAAAAATAAGTATTAAACCTCAAGTAACTAAGGGTTTATGACCAATTATGTAAAATAACATTATCCATTGCTTTGTCATGTAAAGTCATATCCCAGTTTACAATTAAAGGTCAATTTGTCTCTTAACCCACTGATTTCTGTCTCATTCAGAGAAACCAGCAGGCTGCTGACGTTAGGAAGGGATTAAGATCAAGGAAGGAAGCTACTCCTGTCCCCCCTGCCTGATTTCCTTTTTATTCCCAGGTTCACTCAGCTCTGATTTTGGTCTGGCCCAAATAGTATGGTATGCACACTGCTCAGGAAGTAAATCATGACATTCTTGATATCCATTGTATTTAGCCATACAAGCCTTTCTCCTGTACTAGATAATCATTATATTAAGACAAAATAAAGCTAATTGTTGCTAATGTCTAGACCATGCAGCAGAAATATGAACATCACACAAGAAGTGTGTTTATTTTGTAGAAGAATGAGCCTAATTCTTTTTTGCTAATATTTTCAAAGGGAGGCAGGAAAAATGTGGTTAAGATGCCAGCTGCGTGTTGGGAAAACCGGGATGTGGCTGTTTGCTTTCCCTCTGCTGAGGGGGATCCTCAAAAGACTTTAGTGGACAGGGAAAATCAGGTAGGTTGCCAGGACACATTTCAGCTTGGGGCTGAAAGCACTCCCTTCCCAGGAACAGTTACCTCAGAGAAAGGAAGGCTTCCTCCTAACGCAACAAAGAACATTGCTAAAGTCTCTCAAGTAGAGTGGGCACAGCAACTTGTGCATCATTACTCATTGCCAGAGAACTAATCTGAAAGTGGAAATGAAAATGCCATTTCACAAGCAGTTCCTACGTGGATAAAACTCTCACACTATTAATTATATTATGAATTTAGGCTCTGGTTCTTCAGCAGGCTAATGCAGTGGCAGTACCCTCAGTTTTGGTACTGCAGTGGCACAAAGTGAAGCATGTAGTGACGAAACAGAATTCAAAACCTAGCACGAGGTGGGTTCCCAACCCATTGTGTGGGCAGGAATAGGAACTTCAGAGGGTGGCGAGTCAAATATCTCCAGCAAGGCCATGCAAGGGCCATTGGGAGGCAGAGGGGCAGCATGGGACAGCCACAGCCTGGGCACCACCAGCATACTTAGCAGGTAGAGCTGGTCAAGGACCTGCCCTGCAAAAGCAGATCTGACCCCCTGCAACACAGAAATGGAGCTGCCTTCAGTGACAGGCTGGCCCTATGCTTCAAGTGGCCACAGGGCAGCCCTTCAACTACCCCTGCTCTGTGGGATTTGGCCCTGAGCCACCCAGTTTCAGGGTGCAAACAGTGCTGATATGGGTGCAAGGCACAGAGTGACTCAGACCTGGGCACGCCTGAGAAACACAGACCTCTCAGGCCCAAAAGAGAATCCCGGGTTGTGCAAATTATTGGTTTGGTGCTAAGATTTGGGTGTGAGCATCTACCTTTATCCAGCCTCTTTTCAAGACTGATATAGCTCTGCTATTTACATGAAACCCATGCACTTATGCAGACAAGCCAGGCTGAGATTTCCCCACTTTCTGAAACCACAGCTTTCTGCAGTCTAAACTCCAGAATGACTCTTCACTACCTTTTTAAATCCTCCTGCTGTGTATGTATTACTGGTTTGCTATTTCTCTGGGGTACTCCTCTTGAGATCAGGTCAGTGCTTGGACCACTGGCTGGGATTGATTCGGAGAAAGCCAGCAGTGCATGCTGTTTGACAACATTTACATGTATTTCTTTCTTGATACTGATAAGCAGAAACCAGTGTGCTCACTTGCTAGAGCTATTCCTCCTGTGACGCCAGTGCAGAGCTGGCGGTCAGGACATTGTATGGGAAGTATTTTCTTCCAGAGCAATACAAAAACCTACTTCCCTTTTCTTGAAAGGGAAGTGTGCTTAGTGACCGCGCTGAGGGTTACTTAACATCCCTGTCTGTCGTTCTGAGACAACCTAGCATCACACCACTGAGAATAAAGTCAATCATTTTCCCCCAAAGCAGGTACCAGTTCTCAAAATACCCATTCACCCTACTGAGGGAACAAGGCTCCTTCTGCGTTTGCTCACCGTTGTTTGCTGGAGCTCTTAAGAGATACTTTCCCCGAGGAGGTCAGAGCGGCCATGCAGCCCGGAGCTGGCAGGGAGAGGGCAGGAGCAGCAGGCAGGCTGCCTGCGGTGGGGATGTGGTGACAGGGCTGCGGGGCAGCTGAAGGGGGGTCCAGGCAGGGGTGGGCAGGCCCCACGCAGCAGCCCCGGGCTTTGAGGGCAGCCGTGTCCCGCTGGCAAACACTTCCACACACACAGCGTGCAAGAACACATCTTTTTGTGTAGATTGTCTGAGTTTTGCAATGCTCTCTGTCCCCGGGAACGTTCACACTTCCTTCCCCATCTGGATTTAATGCAGAAATAATCCCAGCGGCTTTGCTGAGACTGTGCAGAAGGCTGCGGTGGTTTTCTCTGTGAACTCACATCCAACACGAGGCTACTCCATGGCTTCAGGGCCGGGTCAGCTTCCCGCACGCACGCAGGCCTTGCCCAGGGTGCTCCCGGACACTGCTGTCCCCGTCAGGAAGAGCTGACAGAGGCCGGCCAGAAGCGCTGAGGAAACGCTGGTTCCTCCTCTCGTCCTGCCCGAGAGAGCAGAGCTGAGCTCTGCCACAGCAGGGGAGCGCTGGAGGAAGCAGCTTTTCTCACCAGCCCCGGCCAGCGGCTCCCCCTTCCCTGCCACCAGCACCCCCAGGTGCCGCCACGGCGGTGGCGCTGCGCCCCAGCACACCGCGCTTGGGGCAGCTTAACAAGAGCAACGTCAGCAGCCAGCACACAGCTCCCGGTCACCCCCTGCACCTCCAGTCCCACGGCGCTGCCCTGCCGCAGGGTTCCCTTGCCGGGAAACACACGCCAGCGCAGACCAGGCCTCCTGCCCCAGCAGGAGCCGTTGCAGCTCCTCCGGGGAAAACCAGCAAGGTGGAGGCAGCAGTGGGTTTTATTTCGAATGTGTTTTTCCCACTTCCTCCCACTCTGAAGATGGGGATAGTCACACCACGCAGTCTCAGGCTCCCCGCTTCACCAGCCAGATGATCATTTCCACTCCATGAACATGGAAATGTTTCCCCAGAAGAAGGCTCAGAGCTGGAGCCTTGCGTAGATGCCCTGAATTGCTCCCAAAGCACTCTCTGGGGAAAGCCCCCCTGCCAGCCAGGGTACATCATCCCTCCAGGGACATTCTGTTCCCCCTGAAGTGTATCAAGATAGATACAAACTTTACATCGCTATCTTGGTAAACACCAAAAAGCTGAAACTTCCGGTCACCCATGGCTTGCCTGTGTGGCACTGCAAGGCAGTAAAAGG